GTTTCTAGGTACACGGTATGTGATAACAAAGTAACTGTTCGTGACATTTTTTGGACTCATCCCGAAAGTATCAAGTTGTTTAAGATGTTTCTTATTGTCCTCATTATTGATCTGACGTACAAGACCAACAAGTATCAATTTCTGCTTCTTGAAATTGTTGGTCTTACGTCTACGGAGAAGACTTTTTCACTGAGATTTGCATTTTTGGAATCCATAAAAGAGGTCAACGTTACATGGGCTTTAGAAGTGTGCAAGACTTTAGAGGATCAAAAAACATGCTGAAGGTAATTGTCACTGATCGTGACACAACACTAACGAATTCAGTAGCAAAGGTGTTTCCTACATCATATGTATTACTTTGTTGATATCACATTACCAAAAATGTGAAAAATAGGCTAAAACCTATTGTATGCACCAAACAAATCAAAGGTGATGACGGGAAAATGGTCAAAGTAATTGGGTGGGGGAAAATATTATGGATGCATGGATTGGTATATTAAATCCATCCACAGAAGAATTGTATGTTGACTCCGTAATTAAATTTAGAAAAATGTGTTTCCGATATCCAAAATTTTTGAAATACGTCGAGAGTACTATTCTGGACCAAGTGAAGGAGAAAATTGTATGTGCTTGGACCAATCAGGTTATACACCTCGTCACTACAACAACTAACAGAGTCGAATCAACATATTTGGCATTGAAGAAATGGTTGGGTGATAGTAAGGTGATTTCTGTATAGATTAGGACGAGGTGCACCAAATTCTCCAAAACCAACATTCAGAAATACAAACCACTTTTGATCGGAGCATAACGGTGCAAGAACATAAACTCAAAGACAACATTCTATATTCACTATTGGTTGGTTGCATATCTCGGTCGGCATTGAATTTCATCTTCCACGAAGCAAAGCGAGCAGAACAGATAGTTACAAAAATGGCCAAGTGTGGATGTACACTTAGGAAGGCTTACGGTCTTCCATGTGCTTGTCTCATTGCAAAAAAGATAAAGAATAAATCCCCGATACGTATGGATGAAGTGTACACTCACTGGAAAAGACTTTGATTTAATGATGATGGTGTGATTAATGATGGTAAAACATGTATAAGCATACGACTGAGTGGGAAATAATTCAAGACAGATTTTCCAAGGTAGATGACACCATGAAATGGCATATCAAAGAGAAGTTGAGGAATATTGCATATCCAGAAACCTAAAATTTGAAACCTTCACAACCAATTAAAACCAAATGAGCCCCTAAAAAGGTAAAATTGTCTCAAGATGAAAATTCAACAAAGCGGTCTCCATTGTACTTTGAACATGTTGATTCATATTTTCTGGATTCTCCAACTCCAAAATCTCATAAATGTGTTCAAAAGGGTGCTCGAATTAGCAAACCACCTCAACCACCTCCACCAACTCTGCCACCTTCACCTCCACCACCCATTCCCGAGATTGAATTTATTGATGAAATGCTAATTTTTATGCACAAACAAATCGATTAGATTGTGAATGTTGGGGTGACGCTAATTATGGTTTTCAGGCTATAGTCGGGTTGCTTGGTAAATCATAAGAGGATCACCCACTTGTTCGCGACGTATTTTTGAAAGATTTGACGTTGCATAGGGAATTATACACGAAGTTATATGGGAACCTAATAGAAAGTGCATACGAACGCATCGTTTTAATTATATATGAATTATACATGTTCTTGTTCCTTGCCGTAGCGGTAAAGCACCATTTCAAAGTGGATGTGCTTCCCGAAAATGGGGCACCTGATAGAAAGTGCATACGAAAGAGTATTGATCTGACAAAACACGGGTTCTCAGAGACATTTTTTCCATTACGCACTGGTCCACCTAAAAACCCATTGGAACGGATAATGTGCATTAGGTGTCTTTCAAAGAGTATGCATTTTGTTCAGGTTTATTTGAAACCTGGGTGTACAATTTCGACTACATCAATGGAATGGACGACACATTCAGCAATTGAGGTGGAAACATGGCCAGATCAATTTATAGAGAGGATGATAAAGTTCACAAAATTGATGGAGCTTAAAAGAGAATCAAACAAGGAAACGTTGAAGGCAGAACCAACTGTAGATTTATGTGGTACCAAATTTTTGGATACATTTTAGATTGTAATTAATCCGATTTTTGTTTGTATTAATTTTGATACAATTTAATACATATTAATTTTACGACATGGTTTTGGTTTACATTTCATGAGCTTATTTTCAAAGTTTCTGGTTTTTAACTGGTTCAGGGAACATTTCGAAATAGTGTCTCTGAAGTCACCTTCTATAGTGTTTTCGGAAATGTGACTTCAAACTCGTTTTTACAAATTAAACGTAAGGTACATTCAAATATGCACTTTTGAAACCTTACTGACACGGAAAAGATTTTTGAGGTCCAAAGTGACCTAATACTTGTATAAATGGAGTGTGTCTCAACTCTAATTTGATACACACACACTAAAATCAGAGAGTGAGTTCATATCCCCACCTTGCATTTGTGCATTTCAATGGCGAGAAACCAACGCTTCCTTTTAGGATCACCCAAGAAACTTCTCTTGCGAATTTGATATCCAAGTTGAATACTCTTATGCGCTTTTCAAAAAATCGTAGATTTGTCAAGTTTGAGTATCGGTCACCCTCGTTTGACAGTAAAGGGAAGGTCCATTTCACCAACCTTGAAATGTGAAAACAGATGAAGATCTCAAGGTTATGTGGAATATTTTTCTCTGTTATAAAATAAAGAGTCCGATTGAAGTGGATGCAAATATTCAAAGATCCATCGAGGATATAATTATTATATATTACAACGTCTCGATGAAATAGTTATGTAATGTTAAATTTTTCGTGACTATATATATAATTAATATTTTTATGTAATGAAATATTGATTTTAGTGTTGGTTTGTTAAGAATTCTATTGTCATGTTTTCATTCATATAGTTCAAAAATGTCTTTTCAAACTCACCCTTTTAAGAATTCGGTTATACCTTTTCGAAGTTTTTGTGATAAAAATAATTTTTGATGCGTCTAAAAATACATCTCCAAAAATATGAAATATTTAAAAATTCACTAAGAAACAGGGAGAAATAGCTCGGATGTGAAGAGAAATTTTCTAAATAGGTTTAAGTGTTGACTCTACATGTGTTCTTTTGTCTATGTTTATTAATGTGTTTCATTTATTCATAATACTATTTTTCATCTTGCACAATTCAGTAGGTGTTGAGAAACTAATTTGTCACTCCCACATTATATAATTTACGTGGTCAATCGAATTTTTCAAATTTTTGAGTGATACTTAAAATTTCAAAGGTGGTATCAGAAATTTCATGAACAAGAATACCGTAGGTTTGTGAAATTTCCGATATTTTGTACCGAAAATTTCAAAATATCCGATATTTTCGTATCGAAAATTTTAAAATATTCGATATTTTCATTTATCGTTTATATCAAAAATTTTGAAATTTTCGATACGTCACAGAATACTGGAAATTTGGAAATTTCTGACAGTTCAATTTTTTTTAAAATATCAAAAATTTAAAAATTTCCGATAGTTTATATTTTTCTAATAACCCTAAAACAACTAAACATGAAAACCTAAAACTTCCAGATGACTGTGCATCCATCTTGATTGGACTTTTAGTTATTCTACGGCGATAATTTTCACATGACCTTCACATCTTCATCTTTATTCAATTCGATTAGGTTGTATTTCACTTTTTTATTTGTATCAATCTAATCCTTCCAAAACTCTACTTTTGTCACCCTTCTATTATCGAAATCAGACAGCAAATTATTCAACGTTTCTTTCAAAATGACAAAGGATTCGAAGCCATCTGAAAACTTGAATTCAACAAAAGAGTTCATTGTAATACACTTTTGTCTTAATCAAAAATTGAGAAAGAATTATTTTTTTTAAACTCCATAGCACATGTCCTTATTTATATAAATAGTGATATGTTGGTGCAATCAAAATCATTTAAATATGTCGACAAAATCTCAACCATTTAAAAAACTATATTTTTATAACTATCAAAATTTTCAATTAATTTGAAATTTCTAATACACCGAATAATTTATACACTACCAAAAATTTACATATAACAGAAATTTTGTAAAAGTGTACGGAAATTTCAATCTTCCTATCAAAAATTTTGTCTGAAAATAATGTACATCTCATTCTAGAGTAAAAGTGGAATAAAAATTTTGAGAGATGGCATGTTTAATTTAAAAGGTGGCATGTTAATTTCTCGTAGGTGTTAGTTTTGCCATTTTTAATCAATTAAAGGAACATTCAAGTTATGACCAAGGTTTTAAAAAAAATGTTCCCGAACGGCAACAGAAACAGTATTTATAGATGTTGATACCATAATTCACCGTTTTAATATTAAAGAACAAATTGTGTGGCTAGGAAAAATAATATATTAAAATAATTTGCAAATCTATTTATGCTTAGAACTCCTTCAAAATACCTACCTACTTGGAACGAGATGTTACCGTTATAATCAACAAAGAAATGAAAATCTTCTAAAGTCAAAAGAAAAGATAATATGATCTAACATGTAAATTATTTTCACCTATAGATGAACTGCATTGTAATTTATGTAGTTCTAGTTCCATGCCTGTCATTCTTACTTAACATTGTTAATAAAGTATAACAATAGTAAATTACAATACAGATAATTTTTTAAAATCAATAAATTTATCGACACATGAATTTAATCATAGAAATACTAAACTAAACTAACTGTTAGTCAGTCCTACCATAACATCTGAACTAAGTAAACTTTAGTATGAAGTTTTTCCTGATGATGTTGAGATGTATAAGCATAAGACTTTCTCAGAAGTCAAAAGAAAAGATAATGTTAATCCTCTATGGTCAAAACAAATTTTCTTGTTTGTTGTATATGTTGTTGGCCTGAAGCAAACTGGTTAAAATTCAATTTGATTGTAGAGACTGTTTTGTTGAAAGCAGAAGACATGTTTTGTAGCTACTCCTTTATAACTGTATATCTTGATGGAGGACCAAACAGGCTTAATACCACCTGTGAAAAAAAGAAGGCGGGAAATGTGAGACATTTCATGATTAATCATTGTACTTTTTTTGATGCATAACAAGTTCACAGTGAAGCTATGGTATCCTATTCCCAGGTTGAAACATTCCACAAGCTTCGGCAAAGAATTACAGATAAGTGCTAATAAATTACCTACTACTACTAACAGGGGTGGTCAATTACTCGCAAAAGGAAAATGCAGAAGTAGAACCTATTATATATTGTCACTGAAGAGCTACAGTTATTTATAGAACCAAACCAAACACCTCAAACAACACTTACTGGTAAAAACACCAGACCATGCAAGAAGCCAATGATAACCAAGGCCAGATACATTTGAAAGTAATACACCTGCAAAGACCATAAACATAGTAAGCTACTTAAACTTTTTTCTTTGGCGTAGACAACCAAGTGTTGAGGCCAAGGGTGATATATCACAAACCACAAAAATTTCCGATGTTGAGAAGCAAAGGACCAGAACTCCAACTAATTTTGTAAGTGTGATTCCACTGCCAAACCAAGTAAAGAGAAAAGGGTCAACAGATTAATAATGCAGACACAAATAGTAAGACCACAGTTCAAACCAATTTATCATAAGGAACTTTACCTTATTCTATGAAAAAGTGTACTCTTACCATTCCTTTAGTTTAGGCATAATACGCGAACTACTTAGATCATAACTTAGTGCTGGCTAATTAATTTGTTTGAGATTTCATATACATGATCAACTTAGTAATATCCCATGCTACCATGTTTATTTAGAGGTCAAATAAAAATGCTATACTCAGGTCCTATGCGGTAAGTCATTAAATTTCTACATGCAATGCAACAACATGCATAGCCAACCTGAATACAGAAGCCCCCATGGTACACAAAGCTGTCTTTGCTCGTTGGCTCCTATCCCCGGAACTTACCTGTATAAACATGAGCGATATAATGTATAAGAACATTAGTAAACGTGCATTTTTAATAGGGGGAACTGAAGTAATTTCCACTAGCTAAAGTAATTTCCATAACAGACACCTCAAACAAAACAGAAGATTAAACTAACCATGAATGCATGGGCTATATGCACACAAAACTCCACAGCAATCCCTATTGACATAATCAGGTTTACAACAGACACCGCATTTAGTTGAATACCCAGAATCGCCATTACACCCTGCAACAGTCACAGATATCGTGAGATTCATTTTGAAACTAAGGTGTTAATTTAACAGAAAAAGGTGCAAATGAATTTTACAAGAGAGATCCCTACAAGAATAGAAAGGGGGGGAAATAGGATACCTAAAGAAAAGGCAAAAGAAAGACATAACAAAATCCAAAACAACAAAAATAAGTGATACCAAGAGGTCCAGAATTATCATGAGAAGAACAAGTAATATGATTGCTGAACTCCACACACTGCATTGGGTTGCAAACAAAAATAAATTACACATAATACCGAGAGAGAACAAACTTTGAATTTACTGGAAGCATACAAGCTTAAGTTTGAATAGATTTTCTACCTTGATGTGATGATCAAACAAACAACAAAAACAGCACCTGTTACATATTATTAAAAATTGTTCAACGTCAAATGAATTTGATTAAAAAATATATAATTAATACAAAAAATTCAGATGGCTTCGACTAAAAATTGAAAAGTTTATGTCAAGGAGAAACAAGAACATGGAGAAACACAAAATGTTGTGAATTACATTTTCAATTTCTAATTTTTGGCACAAAGAAAAATGTGAAGTGGATGTCAATTAGGTGTTACCTAATGGTGTGGAGTCTAAATCCCGATACTAAAATATTTAACAATACAGAAAGCAACAGAATAACAGATATTGTATGTCATTCTGGAGACAGAAATAAAGTGTCTTGACGTTTACAAGACAACAAAGTACTCACTCAAAGATCGTAAAGGGAAAGGTAAATTTAAAAGTTTGATGTCAATAAAAAAGGAATAAACCTTCTTAACAGAAGTGTGGGTATCTAGGATCAAAACAAACTGTTGATCTCAAAAAATTACGATTCATATACAAGTATGCAATCCCATCTGTAAAAGTTATTAGAATGTTTTGGAATACCAACCCAGTGCTATCGCAATGTTGATCAGGGCTATCTTCCATACATCCAAATATTGTTCAAAGAAGATATAAAATACTGAGTACGGAAATACATCCATCTGCACAGAAGAAGGTAAGTAAGCAAGAAATAGAGATGCATAAAAATAATAATGTGGGACACTACCCAGATTTAGCCAATTCAAAATTACTTCATAAGGTCAAAAAATGAAAAGTATATCCATAAGAGTTTAATTGCTATGCACTGTCGGTGTAAAATTTTTTACACTATCAATGCATCGTAACTACTCAACTGTATTACTTTAAAAAAAATTAAAATAAAAGTCAAACATTGTAAACAAATCAACAGTTGTGATTAACTAACGGTGTAAAATTTCTTTACACCATCAGTGTAATACAATTACATCCTATCCATAATCATATCACCTCCAATTTCGTGAAAAAATTAAAATCAATGCTCAAGAGATTGAGACTCAATGCTCAAGCAAAAAATAAGTATTACATTTCCAAGCTAAGTATCAGATTGGTGAAAGAAAAATATGATACTTGTTAGATATCGGAATATTCCATATTATGTAAATAGAATATTCTGTAAGTAATTAGGATATCATGTAAATAGGAAATAAAATATTATGTAATTACTATGGCATTTATGCCTCCTATTATATATAATGAGCTCCGATGTGTAATTCAAACACACGGATTCAATCCAACCTTCCTCTTGTTCTCTCATTATTCAACATGGTATCAGAGCTGGGTTCAATCCAACCTTCCTCTTGGAAAATCTGTTGTAGGTTGCAGGTGGATTTTCACAGTCAAAGTTGGGCCTGATGGACAAGTTGATCGTCTCAAGGCACGTTTAGTGGCCAAAGGTTATACACAGTTGTTTGGCCTAGATTATGGTGACACCTTCTCTCCCGTGGCTAAAATGGCCTCGGTTCGATTATTTCTCTCTATGGCAGCTATTCGCCACTGGCCCCTTTACCAGCTTGACATCAAGAACGCATTCCTCCATGGTGATTTGTGTGAGGAAGTTTATATGGAGCAACCTCCTGGGTTTGTTGCTCAGGGGGAGTCTTCTGGACTAGTTTGTCGTCTTCATAAGTCTTTGTATGGACTTAAGCAATCTCCTAGGGCTTGGTTTGAGAGATTTAGCACTGTTATTCAAGAGTTTGGTATGACGCGATGTGAAGCTGATCATTCAGTGTTTTATCGTCACTCAGTTGTTGGGTGTATTTACTTAATTGTGTATGTGGACGACATTGTCATTACAGGTAATGATCATCATGGAATCACACAGGTAAAACAACACCTTTGTCATCATTTCCAGACAAAAGACCTCGGCAGACTTCGTTATTTCTTGGGCATAGAGATTGCCCAATCCAAACAGGGAATTGTGATTTCACAAAGGAAGTATGCTATGGATATTTTGGAGGAGACATGTCTGTTAAATTCCAAGCCAGTTGACACTCCGATGGATCCCAATGCTAAACTTATGCCAGCTCAGGGGGAGCCACTCTCCGATCCTGGAAAATATAGAAGATTAGTTGGAAAACTGAATTACCTCACTGTTACTCGCCCAGATATTTCATTTCCTGTTAGTGTGGTAAGTCAATTTCTTAACTCTCCTTGTGAAGGGCATTGGGAAGCTGTGATTCGCATCTTGAAATATATTAAAGGAGCTCCAGGAAAAGGCTTACTCTATGAAGACAAGGGACACACTCGAGTTGTAGGATACTCAGATGCAGATTGGGCAGGTTCTCCTTTTGATAGGAGATCCACCTCAGGTTATTGTGTTTTCTTGGGTGGTAACTTAATTTCCTGGAAGAGTAAGAAACAAAGTGTAGTGGCAAGGTCAAGTGCGGAAGCAGAATATCGAGCCATGGCAACAACAACCTGTGAGCTTGTATGGCTTAAACAATTGCTTCACGACCTGAGATTCGGGGATGTTTCACAAATGACACTTATTTGTGACAATCAGGCAGCTCTGCATATTGCATCAAATCCAGTGTTCCATGAGAGAACCAAACACATTGAGATTGATTGTCATTTCATCAGAGAGAAGATTTTATCTAGAGATGTCAGCACTAGTTTTGTCAATTCAAATGATCAGTTAGCTGACGTTTTCACTAAGCCTTTGAGAGGTCCTCGAATTAATTATATTTGTAACAAGCTTGGTGCATATGATATATATGCTCCAGCTTGAGGGGGAGTGTTAGATATCGGAATATTCCATATTATGTAAATAGAATATTCTGTAAGTAATTAGGATATCATGTAAATAGGAAATAAAATATTATGTAATTACTATGGCATTTATGCCTCCTATTATATATAATGAGCTCCGATGTGTAATTCAAACACACGGATTCAATCCAACCTTCCTCTTGTTCTCTCATTATTCAACAATACTGTTGTGTAAAAAAAATCTAACCAAGACTATCCCAGGAAAAGGCTCATGAATCCAGTACAGCTCTAAAGAAAGCAGTAATAATTGCAAGGGGGAGAAAATGCTCAACTCCTAAGCTATGCTCGTGAAGACCATACCCTTATAAATTGTTTGATCTTATAAAGCAAAAAGCTAAACTAAGAGGCAAGAGACAAAAACCCATGAAGCAATTGAAGTCCAAACCTTTAAAGACGCAGAAATTCTAGAGCAAAACTCCCTTGCAGCTCTTATTGCATTCACATAGTCACCCTAACAAGATTCCAGTCAGATAAAATAATGCATGAAACATCATGCACAAGCAAGGAAATAAGATCTTTATTTATCACTCTACATACTTGTTTATTAAGTGGTGTATGATAAGTACGGAACTCAGAAGCTTGTATGACACCACCCTTGTAACCTGAAAGTCAGTTATAAGTAAAGTCTTTATATTAGAATTTAAAATTTGAGAGGAAAAGTGTTACCATATAATGTAAAAAGTATAGAATACATTTTAAAAAGGTCAACTTACTAAAACTTTATTTGTGCTTGCTATACAGTATTTTTTGTTAATTAGGCACAGCACATCTAATCTAAAGCTTTTTGCCACGCAGCTAACTCTCCTAACACAAATTTTAAGTTTTAAACAGTGTTTATCTTTATACGCCACTCCTATCTTTCACTATTTTTACTAGAAAAGAAGAGCCTTTTCCTACATCTCCATAATGCTTTTTGTAGAACCATCAAACTCTGGGGTCACCAATCTTCCCAAACTGCAAATGCGTATGGATAATCTACAGCCATAGATACTTTAATCATTTTTAACTCTGAAAATTATAATCTTCGTTTTCTCCAGTCTCACTAACTCTCAGTCTCTCCTTTGCTACATCACACTTGTTCACAGTCAATAGTGTCATAGAGTTAATTTAATAAATGAAGGCCCTAAGAAGTTATCTAATTTGTTCCTGCCAAATCAAAACAACAGTGCTGAACCAAAACAAATACAGGTCAAAAATGTCTACCAAATTAATAAAAAATACTCCCTCCGTCTCATAACAAGTGTCTCATTTGCACTTTTTCTTTTTCTCAAAATAATTGTCCATTTACAATTTCAATGCATCATTTATTATTATTTTTCCACTACTATACCCCTATTTATTAACTTTCACTTTATTCAACTACTCTATTAACTACAATTAATAGGGATACTCTAGTAAATGACGTTAACTTTTTCACTAAAACCAACACATCTAATCATTTTCTTAAGAACCGCGCATTGCTCAAATAAGACATTTATTATGAGACGGAGGGAGTAATAAATACACCAAATGATTAAATTAAGGTATACCGTGGTGAGAAGTAGATCAAAGAAGTGTGGCAACTGAACCAAGATGCAGGTGAAGCAAAATTGTAAAAATAGGTGGAGATGAAGGCGTGGATAACATCATAAACTAGAGGAGCTTGGACAGTTTGACCAAAGAAAAACCGGGGTTAAAAGAGCTGTGACGCAGAGTACTAAGCTAGACATCCAACAATATGGATGGCCTTGCTGACAACAACCAATGGTGTCACTGTCTCAAGTCTCCTCTATCAGGGAGAAAAAGAACAGATTAAGGTGACACTCGCTAGTCTAGATGTGACAACAACTATAAATATCCCTGTAACAGAGTAACTGTACATAATCAGTAATAACAAATTCAGTTTCTCTCACTATGCTCAGTTTCTCGTACTCTTTCAATTTTTAAGAATACAGATTGAGATGACTCATAAGACAAGAGAAGACAAAGATGAAAAGGGAGGGATGACTGGGTTGTTGAATGGCAATAGCATCAGAAGCTTCAACAGAATGTTAAGACTTGAGAGTATTAAAAAATATACACATGTAAAGGCTTAATTAAAAAACCTTCGTTTACAGCATATACAAGGAATAGAATAAATTTTGTTCTTTAAAGAGAGAGAGTGGGTTCTTCCATACCATTGAGATCTACACTATTGGTGTAAGCTCCATGGCCACCCTTTGCACAATCAGCTGATGGCAGCGCATCAAGAAACCAGGGAAGCTTCTCTTTAAACTGTGCTGTAGATGGACGATCATTAACCAAATCCGAGTGGCGGAAACACTAGGAATCAACCAAAAGTCAGTCCTTTTGCCACTGCACCCTTTTGATTTACAGTTCAAAATATTTGGAAAATAATCTCCTATTTAATAAACAAATTAAGTATAGGGAATAGTATATTACTGTTGTACAGTCTTTGCACACTCCACCCAACTCACATGGTCCTTCATCTGGGAAACAGCAAGGTGGCTGAACAAGGACAGATGTTTATTATTGTTTTTTTTTATAAACCAGATATTTTTTATTGTGATTATACTGGGAGCAATATCTTATCAGATTAATACTTCAAACAATTGCCGCCGTTAGAAAAATTAGGCAGGAAAAAGAAGGAAAAAAACATGATGCGGAAACACATACATATATCATGTGCATGAATATAGTTCCAAAATTTGTAGAAAAGAAGGAAAATCAAGCAAGATAGATGCACACGAGTTTTATATCCAAACACATGAGAAGAACATACCTGATCATCAGGTGGACAATATGAGTCATTTGTGAATTTTCGACAGCAACTAAAAGCTTCAGGCGATATCCATACAAGGAAATCATCAAGCCATGAGGCAGCAGGCTTGGCAATGTAGCTTGACTGTGGTACCAATGAAGCTCTTGATATCTGCAGTGTTATGGAGTAAGATATGCAGAATCCATTCATATAAGCTATAAGATAAAAAAAACATTACGGGTACTTGCGGAAAAATCAACCATTCAACAATATCTTCAAAGTTCCACACACGGGGAAGATATGAGGTGTAGTTATGTACAATTCTACATTATAGTTTGTACTTAAAGGTGACTAAAACTAGAAATCAGGTTTAGTTAACAAAGTTGAAGTTCGTGCAAACCACTTATAACACAAGATCAGCAGTTAATGGAATTGATGAATGGTTGAAAAAACATTAATGGTTAGCAAGATCAAAGGAAAATCAAATCAGGTTAGTAAAAATCAAATGTGGGTAAAGATACATGTGGTATCAATATCACAGTATATTTTTATTGAACTGTAGAAATGACTGAATAGTTGCTATTAAGCTAGGCTCAGCATATCTATATCTGATGAAATTCCATAAAGAAAATATGGAAATCAGATAAGAGGCTTTCAGGAACAATTGAAGAATTTAAAATCATTGATTACCTCATTTAAAAGAGAATTTGAATCGCATTGGCTAATGGAGCATAGCTGGTTTGTATGTTTCGATTCCAAACTGCAGGAAAGAATATCAAGAAAACATTGAAAAATTAGATACAAATTGAAGAGAAAAGAGCATACAACCAAGTTAAAACTGTGTTATTGGCAAATAGACACCACCTTGAACAAGGAATGAAGTGAAATTTCAAGGTACTGACTACAAAAAGCATGAAGTGAAATCTATGAGGTTTTTCACACATTGGAGGAATAAATCACATGGCTAATTTGTTGCCAACTAATTCTATTTCTTTTTTCACCCATCAAAGATTTGCATGTTTAAGGCACATTCAATATGCAAATAATACAACATTTAATATTATGCTTAAAAGACAATGACATCAATGTATAAAGAAACAAGAACACCTAAGAAAATTTATCAACCTGTAATTGTAGTCTTTCACAACAAAATACAATGGTGGTCCCACTCTGAGGTACTCAGAAATGTTACTGAAATAACCCTGTAAACAGAACAAAATAAATCACTATAAGAGGCCGGATGATAAAGAATGGAACTGAAAGAAATTGCAAAAAAAAAACATATGAAATGAATTAGAAACTTAGACCTGAAGGTAGGAGTCCCGCGGAAGAGCAATCTGTTGCTCAAGACCAGGTTCAATCCTGGTGCATAATGCCTGAAAAAAAAAACAGAGAGAAAATGACATTTTCCAAAAAGATCTTCCTAAAATTTAATAGTTAATCATTTCTTAAGTAACTTACAATGCTTGCTAAGGTAAATGCACCAAATATGGCAATGACCAAGATTTTAACTACCCATAGTCCAAGAAATGGTGCGTGAACCTCCTATATTTACACAATGATAACAGTTAATTTTTATACTAAAGGCAAGGCAAAATAGTATAAGGTCTACGCTAAGTTTGATAGATGTTTTTCCGATTATCACCAACTAAAATGAGAAAACAATAAAACTGAATTCATATAACATGAGTAGCACATAGTATCTCTTTTTCTTCTATTTTTCTGATCACAAGAACAAAATATAATTTTACCTTCATATATCGTGTCAGTAGTCCATCTGTTTCCTGCCTAGTTCCTGCACTTTGATGGTGATATGATTAGAACTATATGCATGCAAGGAGAGAAAAAAGCTCAAAATACTCAACTCAACAGAAGCTAAAAATAATTCAGGACTAATACAACAAATAAAATATTTATCCAGCATCCTCCTAAAACTAAAATCTTAATCTGTAGAAGGCCAAGCGATTCATATCCCTAACATGCTTGATGCTCATCATTTGCAAGTTGTTTGGAGTTGAAGCATTGACATAGCACATAACCATATATTTTGGTGAAATTAAATCTCGCCGTGACAAAAAGGGAAGCAAGTAACAAATTCGTAATCACATGGCCATGGCGCCTTTGATACCATGGCAAGAACCAATTGATATATGCCTTAACCCTCTAAGCTTTGAAAATATGAAATATTTAGCTTTGCTTGAACAATCTTAGTCTTGAGGATCTCTAATGTGTTCGCAAGTTTGTAGATTTAAGATTAATCTCACTAACAATACATGCTTATATGTTTTCCAAAAGTCTTAACTATGCATGATACATCTCATCAGCAATCCTAGAAAAAATAATGCAACTTACAGAAACAAATGTTCACACTTACAGAATAAGAAGACATTTGTCTAATATAATATGGACTACTTCAAAGAAGATTTTAAGAAGAGAAATCTGTGCATCCAATGGGCACAACTCAAGGATGGATGAGTCAACAAAAATATCAGCTATACACAACTTATAAAGAAGGATTCTCTCTACAAGAAGAATGATTCTTGACAGAGATAATGTTTATTATTATTGATTAGAGCAGCCTGTGCTCTTAAATAGAATACAATATATTTAGGAAAGGAAATTCCTAATAAATACTTATCATTGCCCTCAATCAATTCTATAAGTAAGGACCAATAATTTCTATAAATACATACACAGCTAATCAAATCCTATTTATGGGATTTTAATCCTATTTAACTATAAAATATACCACTAATTAACACATGTACAGCTCGTTCTGACACTCCCCCTCAAGTTGGAGAGTGGATGTTACTCATTCCCAACTTGCCGATAATAGATTGCAATGTAGAACCACTTAATCCTTTTGTAAGAACATTTGCCAGCTGATTTCCAGTTGATACAAATGGTATACATATTGTCCCACTATCCAATTTTTCCTTGATGAAATGTCTGTCTACTTCGACATGCTTCGTTCTATCATGTTGCACTGGATTATGTGCAATGTTTATTGCTGACTTGTTGTCACAATATAGTTTCATGGGTCCATTCCATTCAATCTTTAGGTCTTGTAGAATTATTTTCAGCCATAGGAGTTCACAAATACCTAAAGCCATAGCCCGAAATTCTGCTTCTGCACTTGACCTCGCAACAACGTTTTGTTTTTTGCTCCTCCAAGTCACCAAGTTTCCTCCAAGAAAAGTACAATATCCGGATGTGGATCTTCTGTCATCTACTGATCCAGCATAATCAGCATCTGTATAGGCTTCCAAAGTAATTCCTTGACCCTTTGTAAATAGAATTCCTTTTCCAGGAGTGCCCTTCAAGTATTGCAAAATTCGGTAAACAGCTCTAAGATGATTTTCTTTGGGATTATGCATGAATTGACTCACCACTCCCACTGCATAAGCTATGTCTGGCCTAGTGTGAGATAAATAGATTAACTTTCCAACCAACTTTTGATAGGATTCTCTGTCCACAGTTGCATCTTCAACAAATTCACTAAGTCTGTGATTTTGTTCAATTGGAGTTTCTACTGGTTTGCATCCCAATTTACCAGTTTCAGATAATAAATCCAGCACATACTTCTGTTGAGAGATGAAAATACCGTGACGAGAGTGTGCCACTTCAAGGCCCAAAAAATACTTTAATCTGCCCAACTCTTTTACTTCAAACTCTTTTAGCAAACACACTTTTAGGCTATCCATTTCTGCTTGATGATTTCCTGTTACAATTATATCATCCACATAAACAATTAGTGCAGTAACTCCCCCTAAGGCTGAATGCTTAGTAAACAAAGTGTGATCTCCCTGACTTTGTTTATATCCCATATCTTTCATCACAGTGGTAAACCTGCCAAACCAGGCCCTAGGGGACTGTTTCAGTCCATAAAGGGCCTTCCTTAGCTTACAAACTTTGTCTTTCTCAAAGTTAAACCCAGGTGGGACCTCCATGTAAATTTCCTCTTCAAGGTTGCCATGTAGGAAAGCATTCTTGACATCGAATTGCTGCAAATTCCATCCATAGTTAGCTGCTAGAGATAACAAAATTCTGACAGTGCTCATTTTTGCGACAGGAGAGAAAGTCTCATGATAGTCAATCCCATATGTTTGTGTGTACCCCTTAGCTACTAGTCTTGCTTTATACCTTTCTAGTGTTCCATCGGACTTGTATTTAAGGGTGAATACCCATTTACAGCCAACAAGTTTTTTGTCATTAGGAAGCTCTACTAACTTCCAAGTTCCATTTTTCTCAAGTGCATCCATTTCAACTTTCATAGCTTCTCTCCACTCTTTGCTATCTAGTGCTTCGGTAACATTTTTTGGGATAGCGGTAGTGTTTAAATGAGCAAGAAAACTTCTATGATTGTTGGACAAATTATCATAGGATATAAAGTGAGACATTGGATACCTTGGCCTTTTTGTACATGCTCTAACATCCTTCCTTATTGCAATTGGAAGATCTCTAGCATCCATGGATATATTCTGCTCCTCTAAATCAGTCCCATCAACTTCAGTTTCAGGGGGCACAATTTGCTCCTCTAAAACAGTCTCACTGATTACAGTTTCAAGAATTGGATCAGATTCTGGGACTTGCACAGGTTGGATAATAGGTGTTGCCCTTCTTGTGTAAACTTGTAGTGGACGAGTAGCATTAGAAGTCTGTAATGAAGTGGTTATAGGACTTGACTCGGGAGTCTTGGGCATAAAAGAAAGGTCTTTGAACAAATCATCCTTATCTTCGATGCATTCCTTCTCCCCCTGAAGATAAGGTTTGGAAAAAAAGGATTCGGTTTCGACAAAAGTGACATCAATAGACACAAAATTCTTTTTTGTTGTAGGTTGATAACACTTGTAACCTTTTTGGGTAGGCGAGTAACCAAGAAATATGCATTTAATAGCTCGGGGATCAAGTTTTCCTCGATGTGGAGAATGAACATGGACAAATGACACACACCCAAAGATCCTAGGAACTAGGTGGTTTGAAGTTTTGAAATTTGGGTAGAATTTGGAGAGGAGCTGAATGGGGCTGTTATTCTGAAGAATTTGAGAGGGTAAGCGATTAATCAAGTAGGCTGCAGTAAGAGCAGCCTCCCCCCAATATTGTTTTGGAACATTTGTGTGGAATAAAGATGCTCGGGTAACATTGAGAATATGCCCAATTTTTCTTTCAGCCACCAATATTGTTTTGGAACATTTGTGTGGAATAAAGATGCTCGGGTAACATTGAGAATATGCCCAATTTTTCTTTCAGCCACCCCATTTTGTTGTGGGGTGTGGACACATGATGATTCATGAATAATACCATGTTCAGTGAAAAAGGAAGACAATGTTTGATTAAAATAATCTTTGGCATTGTCAGAACGAAACCGTTTAATGGTAGTCTCAAATTGGGTTTTTATCATTTGGAAAAACAATTTAAATATTTGAGTGACTTCACTTTTTTGTTTTAAGAGATACATCCATGACACTCTAGTACAATCATCAATAAAAATGACAAACCAACGGGCCCCCGATATATTTGGGATATTGGATGGCCCCCAAACATCACTATGGATTAAGGAAAAAGGAGTAGACATTCTTTTATTATTATTAGGAAAGCTGACACGTTTGTGTTTAGCAAGTTCACAATCATCACAGTGAAAATTTTCTAAGTTTATACCTTGAAACAAGGTGGGAAACATATTTTTGAGAGTGCTAAATGAAGGATGACCCAACCGGAAGTGACGCAACCAGATTTCTTTATTGAGGGAAGGAATAGATTCTGACAACAAAGACAGTGGAAGTTGACTCTTAATGCTACTTGTCTCACGCGCTTCCATAAGAAGGTAGAGCCCATTGTCCTCCCTAGCAAGTCCAATCATCTTCCCCGTTTCCTGATCTTGAAATTTGCAAAGTGTAGGAGTGAATGTTACCAAGCATTGTAAATCTGTTGTAAGTTTGTGAATAGATAACAGTTTGGCAGATAATTTGGGCACATGCAAGACATCTCTCAACATTAAATTTTGACTTAGTGGAATATCTCCCTTTCCTGCAACAGTAATAAAAGTGCCATCTGCAGTGACAATCTTTTTATTACTTGGACACGGTGTGTAAGAGATAAACTCTATAGAGGAATGGGTCATGTGATTCGTAGCCCCAGAATCAACAATCCATGTCCCTTTTCCTGTAGATTGTAAAACACTAAGAGCATAGGGATGAGAACTACCTGATAATGCCATGGAAGAACTACCTGTGTTTGTGGGTTTGACTAAAGAGTCTAGTAGTTCCCTTAGTCTTGTAATTTCTTCTGAATTGAAATCAGCAGTAGGTTTGGAATGACTTTCCTTGACAACGCTTGATTGGACCAAGTGGGCATGTGCTGGTCCTCCTCGTTGAATGCCTATGGTGTTCCAATTTCGGTTCTGATTTGGCGGTTTTCCATGAAGTTTCCAGCATCTGTCTTCGGTGTGCCTTCGCTTCTTGCAGAAGGTACACCATAGAGAATCCTTGTTATCCCCTCTTTCAATCTCCATTTTGGGAGCTCCTCCGGTTTGACCGTTCTTCCATTGGTCAATGTTCTTCTCTCGACTTTGTGCTACTAAGGCTGAACTTTCAGTTGATTGAGGCTCCATCATCACTCCTCTTCGTGATTCTTCTGTTCGAAAGGCAGCCATGATTTCATTTAGTGAGGGTAACTCTTTTCCGAGTACTTGAATCCTTATTGGATCAAACTCATTGTTCAGACCGGTTAAGAACTTATAGATTCTATCCTTCTCCTTATAATTTTTTAGTAAAGTAGCATCTGCAGTGCATTTTGCTTCAAAATGTTCATAGTGATCCAACTCCAACCATAGATTTTGTAGAGTTTGGGCATACTCACTAATGGACCGATCTCCTTGCTTGGTAGTTGCAATCTTCATCTTAATTTCGTAAATTTGTGCAGCATCACCAACCTTGGAATAGTTTTCTTTACAGCTGTCCCACACCTCTTTGGCAGTCTTCATGAATATGCATGCATCACTAATCTCAGGCACCATGGAATTCCATAGCCATGATATTACAACAGCATCTTCTTCATCCCATGCAGCAAATTTCCCGTCTGTAGCTTCTGGAGTATCCTTTCCAGTAAGATGATTCAATTTGCCCTTCCCCTTTAAAAAGGTTTGGACAAAATGAGACCATTTGAGGTAGTTTTTACCATTGAGACGAAGGCTAGGTTGAACATTTTTCAGCTCAACAGAGCCGGTGTTTGGGGCAGGGGTATTAACTGGTTCAGACATTCTGAATTTTGTTGGGAAAAACGGCAAGATAGACCGTAAAATAAAATCGGCAATGCAGGCCGCACAGCGGAAACAATGGCAATGCAGGCCACAATTTTTAACAGGCTCCTATGGATTTTGGAGCTCTGATACCATGACAGAGATAATGTTTATTATTATTGATTAGAGCAGCCTGTGCTCTTAAATAGAATACAATATATTTAGGAAAGGAAATTCCTAATAAATACTTATCATTGCCCTCAATCAATTCTATAAGTAAGGACCAATAATTTCTATAAATACATACACAGCTAATCAAATCCTATTTATGGGATTTTAATCCTATTTAACTATAAAATATACCACTAATTAACACATGTACAGCTCGTTCTGACAATTCTCTCAATGCTAAACCATGAAGAACTTACAATGATTAAAAGATGTCACAAGAATATGACGAGGATGTTGCATCTTTTACATATAAAATTTAAAGCCCCGTGCATAATACTCCCTCCGTCCCACAATGAGTGAACCAGTTAACCATTTCACACGTATTAAGAAAATTGTATAAATGAAAGGGAGAGAAGAATGTTTTTACCAAAGTACCTATTATCAAGTATTGGGAATGATGAAAGTAGTATTAACTAAAGGGTACAATTGAAAAAAATGAATTAATATTGCATTGTAAATTGAAATGGCTCATTCATTTTGGGACACTTTATTTTTTGTATATGGGTCACTCATTATGGAACAAAGGGAGTAATGAAAGTATGAAGAAGCATCAAAATTGACAAAGCTATTAAATCCATCAAGATCTACATAAAGGAAATTCACATCTTATTGGCTTAGCGCCTTAATCATTAAGAGCCTAAGTCTTTTGAAGAAACACCAGAATTGATCAGACCAAGAAGAATCTACGGGTTCAGGTCAAGAGAACATCTACAAGGACTTTGATACTCTAATGTGATGCTACTAATCTCATCTTATAAAAGAAGAACCAGAGCACTGAGGAACCAGCAGAAAAACTATATGCATCTTAACTACATCAGCTCACTCTAGAAAAAGGTTGCACCTTTACAAGAACAGCCTAAATTGCATCTAGGATAGCCGTGACAAACTTGGGTTTGGGATAGCAAGGTTAAAATACATACATTGGGACCAGAAATCATCTGGGAAAGTGTAGGTCATACTTTATCTGAGATAGTTAAAAGCTACCGAAAGAACACAACATTAAGACAAACTAATCTAAGGCTTTTAAGATAGATTGCGGAAGAGGAAAATACAAAGATCATTAACAATGAGAGAACCTGAGAGATAAAGGGCTGGTAAAATTTGGGCATGATGAAGTAGGAGCAAAGGTCTCATGCCATGTATGCATAAGAAGAAGGTCATAAATGATCAATTCTTCGAAATTTGGTCATAGAGATTCCAATACCATATAAGAAATAACTACCCAAAAACACATGTGACATACAGGCTCAAGAGTGGCTGCCATCTCCAATAAAAAAAAAGTATCCATGGTCAAAAGCTCGGACGTACCTTCAATCTGTTCCATAGAGTGTCGGTTCAACTTAATGCATGGGAAGCAGTCAACCCTGTTATCCTTGGCTCTCTCAAAGTCTAATGTAACCAAAGCCACAAAAGCAGTGATTTGTAGAAGAAAGTCCAGCAGAACCGCTAAAGCTGTAGAAAATATATTGTCAGAGTAGTTAAAAAACACGAAGAAAAAATAAACTTAAAATCACTTGTTAAAGAAGTTGGAATTCCCCCCTCCTTTCAATGTGCATAAACAAAAATTTGAAAGGTACTATACAAAAACGTCTATTTGGTTTTTTTATCCAAAAGGGCAGCACTGGAGAAGAAAACTATTTTACCTGCAATCATCGAGAAAACACGGCATGCTGGCATAGAAACAAATGATCCTACAGCAAATGCTAGAACCTCTGATAAGCTCGCGAGTGTTATGGATGGTCCAACTTCCCCCATTGCATTGCTTATTTGTTCTTCTATTGGTATATCTGAGGGTTGCCGTTTCACAGCATCTACGATTATACACATGTTATCCACACCAACCTAATCAAAGAATGAAAAAAGCAAGAAACTTGTAAAATTATAATGAACTGTTGGAATTAGAATCACATTAATATTCAACTTTCCAAGTTGCTGAGGTTCTTTGTACAGCAAGTAGAATAGGTTCAATGCATCTTAGGAAATAATGGTAGCTTAATTACTCTCAAGTAAATTGCAGTTGCAATTTATTATCTTTGTGTATAAACTAAAATATTATGTTGGGTGTTTATACTCTCAGTTTTGAATCCCCAAGAATGTGATGATTCGAGAGGCAGCAGAGGCTGACTGTATATAACTTCCAGTTTAATGACAATGGTCAGAATTTTTCACATTATGTTTCACAGTTGACTTCAGTTAGTCCATTTGATTTGGATACTGTGACATGGACAGTATTTTCCACAGCAGTAATAAAATATAAATGGAAATATGGTCATAACAGAAAGACTTACAGCTAAAACCAGAAAAGGTATAACTTCCATTATGATTAGTGTTGATTTTACTCCAAAAGCACTGAAAAATCCAACTGAGCCAAGGACTGAAAGCATAACAAGCAAAACTCCCGAAAGACCAAGCAATACCTAAATGTCATAACATTAAGTCAAAAATGAGTGGTTAAAAAAACGGCCATGACCATGCAGCCATATATCTGAAGAACCATTTGGCACTTCTTTTATAAGTTAATTGAACGGAAATGATGTAGTTGTGAATATGTGATGGAATCCACACACATAACAAAACATAGAATAACAGTAATGCAAGAAATAAGGAAGGAATGGATGGTATATTAATATTTTGTTAAGAGTCTAACATTAGAAAGGATATAGCCTGCAAATTTGTTTATAAGTGGAAGCAATCCTCACCTTACAAACCTGTTTTGTAAGGTTGAGTTAGGCCCAACTCAAAGTCTTAAGATTGTAAGAATTAGTAAGGTTTCGTATAACACGTCAAGCTTCGTGTGTGTTTTATTCGTGTGTTAAGAATAGAGTTGTATGTCTGAGAATCTCCGTAGTGCTTTTCTAAACACACAGTTTAACCTAAATGTCTCTTAGTCTCTCCTAATTCAACATGGTATCAGAGCATACTAAGAGACAATTCTTCACCATGTTTTATCCTGTTGATCCACTGTCTTCCGGTGACAATTTTTTTTTCTCTAAAATTCTCTGGTAACCATGCTGCCGCCACCGTGCAACTTTTCCAAATCCGATATTCATGGCTACTCCTCAGAACTTTACGCCAAACTACGATGATTTCCTCAAGTGGTATCAGAACTCAGATTTTACTGCTTCGGTTGCACACACTGGTAATTCATTTGTTTGCTTCTCTCAATCATCTTCTCTTGGACCTTGGGTCCTTGATTCCAGTATGTCTGATCATGTTACTGGTAATAAAAATCTTTTCTCTTCTCTCTCTACCTCTGGTTTCTTACCTACAATGATTTTTGCCAATGGTTCTCAAACCCGATCCGAAGGAATTGTTACTGTTCAAATTCTACCTTCTCCCTCTATTACTTTTGTTCTCTATGTATCTAATTGTCAATTTAATTTACTTTCAGTCAGTCGTTTAACTCGTACTCTTGATTGTATTGTCACCTTCACTAATAGTAATGTCACCCTGCAAAATCGAAGTTCGGGACGGACAATTGACGTCAGATGTGAGTCTCAAGGTCTTTATTACCTCTCAGTGTCATCTTAGACATGCTCAACCAAAGATTCTCCACTCACAATCCATGCTCAGTTAGGTCATCCTAGTCTTCCCAAATTACAGAAGTTGGTGCCAAATTTATCGAAAGTATCTAATTTACATTGAGTCGTGTCAGTTGGGGAAATACACTCGTAGTCAATTTCTCAATCGAGTCAATAAACGAGCTTCGTCCCCTTTTGCTTTAGTTCACTCCGATGTTTGGGGTCTCTCACGTACTATCTCTATTCTTGAGTCTATGTATTTTGTCACCTTTATTGATGATTTTTCACGTTGCACGTGGTTATTTTTAATGAAAAATAGATCAGAATTATTTTCTATTTTTGAAAAATTTTATAAAGAAATAAAAACTCAGTTTGGTGTGTCTATTCGTACCTTAAGAAGTAATAATGCTCGTGAATATTTATCCCAACGATTTCAAACTTTTATGTCCAGGAATGGTATTCTCCACCAAACATCTTGTCCTCATATACCTCAACAAAACGGGATAGCCGAACGCAAAAATTGACATCTTATAGAAATCACTCGGATCCTACTTCTCTATAGTAATGTTCCACTTCGGTTTTGGAGAGACGCTGTGCTAACAGCATGTTACCTTATAAATCGCATGTCATCATCTGTCCTTAACAATAAAATTTTCCATTCAATCCTTTTTCCCCATTCCCACCTTCACCCAATTCCTCCTCGAGTCTTCTACATGTTTTGTACACAATCTCTCTCCTGGTCCTGATAAACTATCAGCTTGATCACTAAAGTGTGTTTTTCTTGATTATCATCGATCTCAAAAAAGTTATCGTTGCTATTCACATACCCTACAATGATACCTCATGTCGGTCGATGTCACCTTCTTCGAGTCTGTTCCATATTTCGAATCCAACCAAGTAACTCTGGAACCCTTTCAGAAGAGCACTCCTACACCTCTTTTGGAAGTCCCATATGTCATTATCCCTCATCATTCTAGGGAACCTGGCCCACTAGATAACCCTACGATTAGCCCCCCGACTTCTCGTCCACTTCAAACATATCAGCGTCGTCAACCAATGTCTGTCGTACATGTCCCTGAGGTTGTACCTGTCCCTGAGGTCGTACATGTCCCTGAAGTCGTACATGTCTCTGAGATCATTGTAGACTCTCCTCCGACGCTCTCGCCATCACCGAATCCGACCCTGCAACCCGATTCCGATCTTCCGATTGTCCTTCGAAAAGGTATACGTCAAACACAAAATCTTTCTCCACGTTATATTGATTTATGTTATCGTCTTTCCTCTTTGCAGTATACTTATTTGTCTTCTTTGTCTTCTGTTTCTATTCCTAACACTCCAGGTGAAGCATTATCTCACCCTGAGTGGATGCAAGCAATGATTGATGAAATGTGTGCTCTTCAAAACAGTGGTACCTGGGAACTGGTTCCTCTACCCCCTGGGAAATCTTTAGTAGGTTGTCGTTGGTTTTATACAGTGAAAGTTAGTTCAGATGGTAAGATTGATCGATTTAAAACTCGCTTGATACCCAAAGGATACACTCAGATTTTTGAATTGGATTATAGTGATACCTTCTCGCCTGTAGCCAAGATGGCACATATTAGACTTCTTCTAGCCAGTACAGCCATTCGACATTGGCCTCTTCATCAATTTAACATCAAAAATACATTTTTACATGGTGATCTTGAAGAGGAAGAATATATAGAGAAATCACCTGGGTTTCTTGCTCAGGGGGAGTCATCGAATATGGTTTGTAGGTTACACAGATCTCTTTATGGTCTTAAACAATCTCCGAGAGCTTGGTTTGACAGATTCAACATTGTAGTACAACAATTTGGTATGGTCTGTAGTGAAGTTGACCATTCTGTCATCGTCACTCAGTCCAAGGGTGTATTTATCTTATTGTGTATGTAGATGATATTGTTATAACTGGTATCATGAGCAGGAAATACTCCAGTTGAAACAACATCTCTCGAATCAATTTCAGACAAAAGATCTTGGTAAACTCTGGTATTTCTTGAGTATTGAGGTAGCCCAATTTAAAGATGGTTTGGTGATTTCTCAGCGGAAATATGCTATGGATATTTTGGAAGAAACAGGTTTGTTAAACGCTAAACCAGCTGATACTCATATGGATTCAAGTGTCAAACTACTACCCAATCAGAAGGAGCCTCTATCAGACTCAGAAAGGTATAGGAGATTGGTTGGAAAGTTAAATTATCTCACAGTCACTCGTCCAGACATTTCTTTTGTAGTCAGTGTGGTAAGTCAGTTCCTAAATTCTCCTTGTCAGAAACACATGGATGCTGTTATCCGGATTTTGAGATACATCAAATGTGCTCCAGGAAAAGGTTTAGTGTATGAAATTAAAAAACATACTTAGATAGTTGGATACTCCGATGCTAATTGGGCAGGATCATTAATTGATAGACGATCCACCTCTGGGTATTGTGTACTTGTTGGAGGAAATCTTATATCTTGGAAAAGTAAGAAACAAAATGTAGTTGCAAGATCAAGCGCCGAGACAGAGTATAGAGCCATGGTGAGGGCAACATGTGAACTTGTTTGGTTAAAACAGTTGCTCAAGAAACTTAAAATTGAAGAAGCAAGATCAATGACACTTATTTGTGATAATCAAGTTGCGTTACACATTACTTCAAATTTGGTCTTCTATGAACGGACCAAACATATTGAGATTGATTGTCACTTTGTCAGAGAGAAGATCGAGTCAGGCGACATCACCACAAGCTTTGTCAATTCGAATGATCAATTGACAGATGTGTTTAAAAAATCTCTGCGAAGTCCCAGAACTAATTATATATGTGGCAAGCTTGGTGCATTTGACTTATATGCTCAAACTTGAGGGAGAGTGTTGATATATATATATATATATATATATATATATATATATATATATATATATATATATATATATATATATATATATATATATATATATATATATATATATATATATATATATATATATATATATATATATATATATATTGTTAAGAATATTTGTATGTAGAATAGTCTCACATCGACTATATCATAGCATTAGTTATAATCTCTCTATATATAATAAAGTCTCCGTAGTGCTTTTCTAAACACATGGTTTAACCTAAATGTCTCTTAGTCTCTCCTAATTCAATAATATTTTCATCAAGAATTACAACTTAGAACATATTAGCACTTATAAAGAAGTGTATGTATTGAGTACACATAAATAATCCAGTATAGCAGTGAACATGAAATGAGAAAAGGACAATAGGAATTTAGAAACTTAAAAGATAAATATCTGACCTTGGTAGAGAGGTAGAAAGAAGATAAACGATGTGGTGTATCTCCCAGTGTGACTGATATATAGGCAAACATTACAATATAGCTCACCTAAAAAGATGTAGGAAATGAACTCAATATATATTCAAGTATAGCAAACCTTCAATTCATCAAAGCCATAACCAAATTATTCAGTTTATATGCAACACAAATCAGTTTTTCATGTTAAGTTGAAAGAAATGGAAAGTTATTACGAGTATTGTAATGACATCAGCAGTACTTTCTCTCTTTAATTCTTCCTCGATTGAACTTTCTGAAGAGAAAGACAAAGTAAGATTGCTAGATTGCACCATTGGCAGCAATTCCTCCTGCCAAATATAAAATTAGTTCAAAATGTGGTGTGGCTAATGAATGGAAATAGAGGTAGAAAAACTAGAAAATCAAGTCATGCGAAAAAAAAACTAATTTAATCAGGAAACATGTGTATCATATAGCCTCTTGTTCTTGTACTTCGACATCATAAACGGAAACTTGGTGTTATAAAACTCCCACCATGACAGGGTCCAAGGAAAAGTTTGGATCCAATTACGATATATTGCAGGTGGCCTTTCCTTGCATTTGCTAGAGTCTGATTGCATGATTCAAACAGGTGACAGCTATTGTACTAATACAAAAAGTTGAAACCATGCCTACATATGAGTAGGTATTCGAAATACCACAATACTCTTACACTTTTAGAGACTCTCAGCAAGTATGCCATATATATGATATATTTTGCATCAACATGACACAACATATATTCTGCTTACCATATATGTTTTGTTCAAATTCACTACCCCGTGCTATGTTGCTAGGATTTAAATCCTAAACTGGAGTGTTTTGATTTACTTCGGGCCAAACCCAATATGTTTAGCCTGTTGCCTGCAAATATATAATGCAGCAGCAGCCCTGAGTTCTTCAGCATGTCATCTTCCCTAAAACTGCATTTGAAGTATGGCTACTTCATTCCTTTTTCTTGTTGTAGTCGCTCTGAGTTGTCATTCTTTCTTCTCTGTTCCAAGCCTGGCTTCTTCGCTCTTCTCTGTCTTATTATATCTGACTCCTTCAAGCATTTTTTCTATAATTTTCAATACGCTTAAGAGTCCAGCGGGAGCCCATACTAGGTCAGCGAGTTATGTAGGTTTACTTTGGTTAGTGACCAGTTTGATGAAGTATGCACAGAATTGAAGGCATTTTAGATCTGACAATCTGACAGGATCAGCTATGGGTGTGGTTTCCAACTTAACCAGTCTAACTGGCCAATCCGATCCAGTTTTAGTAACATTTATATGTACTTAATATGAATATTTATGTGCTTTGGTAACACTAGCATAAAGAGCTTAGGTCTTCCAATTCCTAGACGAGAGACCCAACAATTAAACTGAACATTTAACTTTTAAGCTGGACATTTTTAAGAGGGTTATGTACCCTTGAAAGTGATGAAAATCTTATTATCTGATGAAGAAAAAGAAATGTATATATTAGGCTTTTATAATAGATTTAATTCATCCTTGCAAAACTAGCTTATAAGGTGAGAGATGACACGCTTTATAAACTCATCTCAGGCTTTATCTCAATTCTACGTGGGACTTGAGTTTTTTCCCAATACCCCACTCTCACCAACACTATTAAGTTTGATGTGTGGATATAAATGGTGGGTAGCCCTAAAAGGATGGGCTTTGATACCATAGTAGGTTTTTATATTAGGTCTAACTAATCCTTACAAAACCAATTTATAAAGTGAGGAGTGTAACTCATTATAAACTCATTTTAGGCCTTATCTCTCTCTATCCTATGTGGAACTTGAGTTTTTTTCCAATAATATATATACAGGTTGTACAATACTATTTCGTACCAATTTATAAGAAATTATAATATTTCACACTTATTAAGAAAGTTTACATTTTCGTGTCTTTTTTAAAATATGTTTTATGGAGAAATATAAAAACAGTTTTGATTGGTTGTTTTTATGAAAAAAATAAGAGAGAAACCAAATTAAATGCAATTTGCATTTAATTTCACCTTGGAAAAGATGAACTTTTTAGAATAAAATGGTTAAATAACATAAAGTTGATGTTTTTGCTTATAATTTGTAACAAGAAAAATGAGTGTTTTTTTTCTTATAAACTGGTACGGAGGGAGTACTACATAATACTTTATCCTGGGGACTGAGACATCATAATTAGGTATATACTTAATTTAAGGAAGCTAAATCATACCATTGAATCAAAGGAAATAAAAGAAAATCTGAAGAAAAAATCATGAGATGTGTTGTAATTAACAATAAAAATTAAAACAAAATGTCAATTTTGTGATATAAGTCACACTAGAACTAATAACGGTGATGCCTATATTTAGGAGCCAAACCTTAGCTAACTGGATGAAAGCTTTTTCCCAAGCAGTTGCCTTCCCGTTCTCATCTCCAAATTTTGCGATTGCATTATTGACAGGGTACGTGATAATAAATGCTGAGGCCTAGAATATAGTAATCAGCATATAAGTAATGCATAAACAGACATCTGCCAAAACGCGTGACCTTACCTCAGAATAATTGTTCCCGGAAAACCCTCCCAAGGCAGTAGTTGGCTCAAGGGGAGCCTTAAATGCACTAAAGCATGTTTCTGTAGAAGTGTAATGCTGAAAATGATAAATTCAAATAATCAGAGCAACATATACCCGATATTGAAACATCATAAGGACACTGTTAAAACCCAAAAGAAAGTGAAATAGTACTGAATTTAAGGATGAAAATCTTTAGTAAAAACCAGGGGAAATATCCTGCAGTGGACTGAAATGAAACTGCTAAAAAGGAAATGGAGCCTAGCTTCTTATAGATCGAAATGGAACTTAAAAAACAAAAGAATTGCCATCGGAATTGATCACCGTTGGAAATAGAAGCCACTAATAAGATCCATTAGTGAGAAAAAAATTGCATGACAAACACCAAAGAACAAGCCAACCTCACAATGCAAAAGAAGAATAAAAAAGAAAATCTTAATTGAGCAGTGCTCAGAAAATGCTCAGAAGACCGAGATACAACAACAAAAGGGTCAGAGCACGCATGAAAACTAAGACCTAAGATGATACAGTATTTGAAATGATGCGAGCAGCGAGAACACAGGTGTAGCCATGGTCTGTAGGGTTGAGTTAAACCCAACCCAAACTTTAAGATTTTTCTCTCTATTTTCTAATTTTTATTTTAACGAAGGAAATTGCATATAGAAGTTTACCTGAAAACAATACTCGGCGTGTTCAACACCTCCATAGTTGTCATAATTGTCAGGGTCCATTTGAAAATACTATAAGATAGAAAAATAAGACAGAGAAAAATGAAAATCAAACAAAATCATCTTCAATGTGCCCAATAAAAACAAAAGTAAATTAAAATGGAACTGAATAAGAAAACCTGCAAAATGCTTTGGGTGGCACAGTCATCGCCTAAAGGCTTCAAGCAAATGTCGCTCAGAGATACGAACAAACCAGAATAATTTGCACGAATTCCATCAACCTGACATATTAATGAAAGGAAATTTTGTAAAAAAGAAAGTCCCGCTACATTACAACACCTCCATTCAGAGCGTAGCAAGTTGTAAGACCCGAAAGTAAAATACCTTTTCCTGTATTTCGAAAAGCAGTTGAATATTGTCTTCTGTTATGATACTTGGTGGCTTGCCATGCTCAGATTCGGGAATTGTGGCTATTATGAGCTGAAAATAAGCAAATAGGATTGCCAACATGGATCATTTTAGATAGAATCATAGCGAGAAATGAAAGGAAACAAACACACACAAAGAAAAATTCCTACAAGACGAGGCCGGCTACATGATCAAACACTACCATAATATCCTATTATGAATAATGTCTAATGCTTGAATAAGGGAAACATATTCTTAATATAAGTTTGGTTATAATCTGTAGACAATGGTTGCTTTACATTGATGGTGGGTAAATTTTACTAATTACTATATTAAATAATTAATGAAAGAAAATAATAACTGAAAAGTATGAAATCGGCTATACGAATAAGAGAAAATAAATCTATAAAATAATGTGATCTCCCTATCTTAAAATTTGGGATAGGTCTAACTCAACCCTTAACAACCGGCTAGTAAGATGAGACTTCCCAAAGTTTAATAAGCACTAGAACGGCAATATCTCTAGGCAATGTGAAATTAAATTTATCACTTCACACCCAACAAAACAAAGGTGTTGGAGGCTGCAATAAAAGCAGTCTAGATGCCGTAATTAGGCGGCTAGGGGCAGAACAAAAATGAAGGCATCCTAAAATTTTGCAAATCTATCACTCCTAGCTTGCAAGTAAGATCTTAAACCATTATATGAAAAGTTTGTGTAAGCTTTCCAAAGCCCTCCTCCAATACAATTTTTTAGTTTCCCCAAATTAGGAGGATTTTGTGTTATGACTAAAAACAAAACTCTCCCAACCAAAATCCTTCTATTCTTTTCCTTCTAGCCTTCCCTTTTTTCAAAGTCCTTTCCTCTCCCTTCCCCTCCAAACTCCCAAACAAAGCCTTAGTGAATACTATTGAAAAGAATGGTAAAGAGTTGTTGTAATTTTATTCCTCAGCTCTAGGCTGGTATATATAATGGAAATACAATAACTATAATTAAGTCTCTCCTTAATGGAGAATAAAGGAAAATAAAGAAGAATAAACGGAAACAATAAAATAAGGAAATAAAATATTTTAGCATGCTTTGTTATATGCTTCGTCATATTATGTTGAACCGGGTTGTTCAATGCTAATGGTAGATTTATCGTCACAAAATAGAAACAATAGTAAAGACAAAACATGCAAATGATTTAGCATGCTATATAGGGGTTTTCATTCACTTACTATAGAGTCAGCTTAGATATTAATAACAAAAGAAACTTATAAGCACTACTGAAACCTGTTCGATTCTGTAAAATGGAGCCAGGTGGCTATCAAAAAAATCTTTCTCTTCTGCTGCCTTACTTCCAGGACCTACCCATAACTGAAATACAAACATGACATAGATAGGAATAAATGCCGTTATCAAAAATTTAAAAATAAATAGACAGCATTATAGCACAGTCAATACTTTACGTATATTTAAACATTTTCAGCTATGAACACATATATTACTTTTAGTGTGACCTTTGGTTAATGAGTCGTGTTATTTAGACATGCAAATTTGACATCAATTTGGATGGCTAATAGAGTTTAAACATGTGGTTAATTATGCATTGAGTTGAAATTAAAGAATAAGAAACTACGATTCCTTTTTGTCTTAAAAAAACAGGATTGTCCGCTAGTTATAAACACATGTTTATGTCATATGTCAGCTAACATGGGACATCTCAACACATTCTCACACCCAAGACTGAACATCTAGAGCCTGGCCCGAGTGGCCCAACGGATCTTGGATAGGCCCTGATATCATCATAGAATTTGGCTTAGGCCTAACAAAATCCCTACACAACCGGCTTGTAAGGTGAGGGCTATCCACCACTTAAACACATGTTCGAGTCATATCTCATCCAATGTGGAACTTCTCAACATACATAAATGTATCCAAAAGACGAAGTAGACAAAAAGGAAGTTATTTATAACAATACACCCTTGCAGTGATATTTTATCCATTATGAAAACTTTTTCTTTGTTTTCTAATAGAAGTATAAGTTCGGCAGTGAAAAATATTTCAATCTGCTGTTGTTTTTATACAAAATGTACTTACCCTTTAAGCACTTGTTCCAAAACCCATACAAACATGTCTAAGAGGAGATTAAAAAAATGATCCAAGGAAAAAACATGTCTAAGAGGAGACTAAAAAAATGAACCAAGCTAATACTAACAGACGAGAATGGAAAATACCACCCTATTCTGCCAGCGGGATCAGGCTAGAAAAATTAAACACATAACAGTTACAGGGAAAAAACTAGATTGCTCTTTGCGAAGATGCTATAGATGAAACATAATACCTTTTCAGGTTGTGTTTCCACCTTGAAATGAAGCAAACCCAAACAAAGCAAAAGAACAATTGCCAATGAGGAACAAAGAACAGTACTGGGCTTTCTAGCAGCCCATCTTCCATAAGTTCTGGATACAAAAACAAAATATTAATCAATGATTATGAAATTGTATACCTAGCATGTGCTAAAGCTACAGACCTGTAAAATCTAGACAAACATCCTTGAACATAAGACAGTTGCATTGCATTCTGCTTGTGCGGATCCATCACTTGCACCTTTTGTTTGTCAAAACAAAGTGAATGGTATGATAGAGTAATAAATAATACTACACATACATCTGTATAGCACATTATACAGCATGTAAATCATTTAAATCTAGCACATCATGAATAGAACAAAAAAGGCTAATCAAGAAACACTATATCATAAACAAAGGCTGGTTAAACAAGAAGAAAACATAATGGCATTAGTTTAATAAGTTTTTAAAAAATCTCATAAAATTGAATTTATCAAGGTTAAACAAATTGAATAATGTTACTAAGGCATTAGTTTATTAATTAAAGAAATATACTACTAAAAAAACATTACAATTTAAGCATTAATAATATGTTGAAATAGAACTACTAAATATTGACAGTCCGACTGAATTTGAACATGGATATGGATATCTAATTCGCCAACTGTTTACAACACAAACCTGTTTTAAATATCTGAAATGGGCCAGTTAAAAATTATTGCAAATATCTGGTTTTTAAAATATGTTCTGTGATTGGTTATTTTGTTTACCACTACATTCAGCCTATGGCTTGATGATTAGGAGGTGAGGAAATGATAACCAAGTTCCATTGGCTAATAAAGCATCATACTCAATCTTCAAGGAACCATTGAGGGCTTGATAAAGTTTGTAAAATATCTGGCAGAGTGAGAAGTGTAGGTTGAAGCCTTGGTTTAAATATGCCAAATTTTGGGAGAATTTACGTTGAATCGGTTGATTTTATCTAAAAGAAGGATAATAAAGTACTGTTAAGTCAGCTCAGTTGGTAGCAGTGCAGGGATATCAGATGCAAGGGGACGGGCTCGAACCCACGACATCCCATTTATTCACCTTTAAGAAGTGAAATTCTTCTTACCAAGAGTACACGGATGTGGTAAATCGAATTCTAAAATACATCAAAGGTGCTCCGACAAAGGTCTCATTTATGAAGATAAACATTATTATTATTATTATTATTATTATTATTATTATTATTATTATTATTATTATTATTATTATTATTAATTCAGCAAATGTGACAAAACTTGAGACAAGGTCATATTAATCCGGGTAAACTGTCTCCTTGGCTCATCTGCTCTGGACTGATTATTTTGTTGTTGGTTTGATGCAGGATTGGAAATCATAACAGTCCCTACCGTCAGACGACGCTCAGTTTTATTAAGATTTCTTTGGCCATAAGCAACACTGACCTCCTTCTTCTCTGTGAATGGTTTCTTTGCAGCGCTGGAGGATGCATCTCTCTGGATCTTACCGCTTTTGATGCCAGCCTCTACACTTTGAGGAGGTTCCACAGACCGTTGCTGCAACCAAGATCACTGCCAGTATTCCAAAGATTACTAGGCCTCCGCTGAAGATGGCTTCTCTGAAAGATGCCAAGGCAGTCGTTGAAGAAGGTGGGTGTACAATTTAGGACAAACTTCTGGATATTCCCTACAAATCTGACAAATTTGGTTTGGGTTTTACTTCAGGAGCCCAGAGAGCTATTCGTCGTGCTCGCGCCGGGGGACCATCTTTACGGATCAGCAACCATGGAGTCAATGCCCTGAAAGACAGCGATAGTGATTATGACCTGGACAAGTGGATATTCCCAACCATTAACGGTGGACTCAGAAATTGGGAGGCTAAAGACTTTGTGCCCATTACTTTTATTCAAGAGTAATTTATCTTTTTCTTTTAAAGAAATGTAATATTTGAACAATTGAAACATTAGAGCTTTGTGTCTTACCCGAGGCACAATGGTCTATTTGTGAGGGTCATTACTTCATTTTCATATGTCAACAATAAAACATTGGACGTTTCACATACAAATTTTACGCTCTTTATTTTTCTTTTCTACCTCTTTACTTTATCAAAAATATACAGTTATGCTTTTACGCACACTCACATGTCAAACTGCAGATCCACATCCATTCTGGATCCCATTGATAACGGTTCTGCTATTGATCATTATGACTTTGAAAATCCGATCAACCAAGCCGAGGACGAAGGTGAGAAAGATTGTGATGTACCAGGAGAGCTTGCCAGACTGTTACAACAGGAAGAAAGGGCAATACAGCCTCATGAGGAGCCGGTTGAGATAGTGAACCCGAGTACTGAAGAGGACAAAAAAGAAGTCAAGATAAGTGCCGATCTGGAGTATAGTGTCAAAGAACGGTTAATTCAGAAGCTACATGACTATGTTGAGATTTTTGTCTGGTCATACGAACATGCCGGGACTTGACACTGATATTGTGGTTCATCGCCTACCTACAAAAGAGGATTGCCCTCCAGTGAAACAGAAGGTCCGTCGTATGCGGTCGGATATGTCAGAAAAGATTAAGGCTGAAGTCATGAAACAGTTCAATGCTGGTTTCTTACCTGTGACGTCCTATCCACAATGAGTCGCTAATATTGTTCCAGTATCTAAGAAGGACGGTAAGGTACGTATGTGTGTGGATTACAGAGACCTGAACAGGGCAAGCCCCAAAGATGACTTTCCGCTTCCCCATATTAATGTTCTAGTTGACAACACCGCACAACATAAAATATTCTCCTTCATGGATGGTTTCTCCGGATACAATCAGATCAAAATGGCACCTGAGGACATAGAGAAAATGACATTTGTCACACAGTGGGGCACTTTCTGCTACAAAATCATGTCATTTGAATTAAAGAACGCCGGAGCAACCTATCAACGTGTCATGATAGCTTTGTTTCACGATATGATTCATCACGAGATGGAGGTCTACGTTGATAATATGATAGTCAGGTCTCAGACTGAAGAGGAACACCTTGATCACCTACAGAAGCTATTTGACAGGCTGAAGAAATACAAACTGAGGCTAAACCCGAATAAGTGCACATTCGGAGTAAGACCAGGTAAGCTCTTAGGCTTCGTTGTCAGCGGCAAACGTATTGAGGTAGACCCTGCAAAGGTCAAGGCTATACAAAAAATGTTGACTCCTCGCACTGAGAATGAAGTTAGGGGATTCTTGGGACGTCTGAACTACATAGCCAGATTCATTTCACATGACCGCTACTTGTGAGCCAATCTTCAAGTTACTGAAGAAAGATCAAGCAGTGAAGTGGAACGATAATTGCCAGTATGTCTTTGACAAAATCAAAGAATATCTCCAAAAACCTCCAATTTTGATGTCACGAGTTGAAGGAAGACCTTTGATCATGTACTTAACAGTATTAGAGAACTCAATGGAGTGTGTGCTGGGGCAGCATGACGAGTCTGGTCGAAAAGTGCATGCAATATACTACCTTAGAAAAAAGTTTACCGACTGTGAAACAAGATACTCACTGCTCGAGAAAACTTGTTGTGCTTTGACATAGGTTGCTCGCCGACTAAGACAGTATATATTGACTCATACTACCTTGTTGATATCTAAAATGGATCTTATCAAGTACATCTTTGAGAAGTCCGCTCTCTCCGAAAGAATAGCAAGATGGCAAATGATCCTGACCGAATACGACATTCAATATACAACCCAGAAAACAATTAAGGAAAGTGTATTAGCTGATCATTTGGCTCATCAAACTGTGGATGACTACCAATCCATAAATTTTGAGTTTCCGGACGAGAACATCATGTTAGTAACTAATTGTGAAGAACCTGGACGGGATGAAGAACCTGAAAAAGGATCCCGATGGACTATGATTTTTGCCGGAACTTCCAACGCTCTTGGCAATGGCATCGACGCTGTGATCATATCTTCTGAAGGTTGTCATACTCCTTTCACTGCCAGACTATATTTCAACTGTACCAACAATATGACTGAGTATGAAGCATGTATCATGGGTCTCAAAGCTGCAATCTATTTAAGGATCAAGTTCTTAAGTGTGTTTGGAGACTCGACTTTGGTAATCAGCCAAATCAAAGGAGAATGAAACACGAAGCATCCTAATCTCATCTCATACAAAGAGCATGTGTTGACACTAATCTCATATTTTGAAGAAATTACCTTTGAGCATTTTCCACGAGAGAAAAATCAACTAGCGGACGCGCTATCTATGATTTCATCCATGTTGAAGGTCAGGTGGAATAATGAGGCTCCTCAGATCACCATTGAGAGGATGGACGAGCCAGCATACTGTCACGAGATTGGTACTGAAGAAGTAGTAGACAAGTTTTGATTCCATGAAGTCAAAAGATATCTCGAAGCCCACTAAGGGAGCTTCAGTCAACGATAAGAAATTCCTAAGAAGGTTCTCTGCCAAGTTCTTCCTCAGTAACGGGATCCTCTACAAGCGCAACCACGACTCTACTTTGTTTCGGTGTGTAGACAAGAATGAGACAGAATAGATTATGGTTGACTTGCACGAAGGTACCTTTGACACTCACTCTAGTGGACACTCAATGGCTAAAAAGATCCTACGGACAGAATACTACTGGTCCACTATAGAAACAGACTGTTATCAGCATTCACGAACTTGCCATAAATGTCAGATTTATACTAATAAGGTGCATGTACCTCCGGTTCCTTTAAATGTCTTGACTGCTCCTTGGCCGTTAGTAATGTAGGACATCGACATGATTGGAGAGATCAGACCTACAATTTCTAATGGGCACCGCTTCATCCTGGTTGCCATTGATTACTTCACGAAGTGGGTTGAGGCAGCTTCATTTGTTTCCGTTACCAAGAACGTTGTGGCCCAATGTATCAGACATAACCTTATCTGTCGGTACGCTATCTCAGAAAGAATCATTACAGATAATGGTATCAATCTCAATAATACTATGATCACCGAGCTTTACACGCAATTCAAAATCCAGCATCATAACTCTTCTCCTTATCGGCCGAAGATTAATGGCGTTGTTGAAGCTGCTAACAAAAACATCAAGAAAATCATACAGAAAATAACGGTGATATATAAAGATTAACATGAGATATTACCATTTGCTCTTCATGGTTACCGCACCACAGTGTGCACATCAACAGGGACAACTCCTTTCTCTTTGGAGTACGGTATGGAAGTTGTCCTGCCTATTGAGGTCCAGATCCCTTCCTTGAG